CTAGGGACCCTGAGGGCTAGCTCTTGGGGATGTCGACCTAGTTGGCAATCTTCAGACCAGTATACAGGGCTGGTTCTAGCTAGAACAGTGTGTCTAGTCACGACCTAAAGGATGACTTAGGATAAGTCGAGAGTTATAAAACCTCATATGTACTATCCATTAACATGACTCCTCGAACTAGTACTGCAACCCTATTTTCAACCTAATCTATTATTATCTTTCAAGATTATAAGGTTAAAATTCCTCTTGGTATTCTTATAATCAGAAAACTTTTCTATTAGCTTTTAAAGGAATTGTGTGATTTGAATGGATTTTGATTTTTGAGATAAGCCAGCTTATAAATTAGTTTGCAAAAAATCTTGAATTAGAATCAAAATTTTTAGATATTCTTAAATTTTATATCAATTTCTTTAAATTTATTCTAATTTCCTTTTATGCATTGTACATTCTTTATATAAACTTATTTTTGAATATACAGAATTTTTAGCATTTACTATACAATGATATCAAAAGTATTGTAAAATTTCTAGTGTTGATTTGTAGAAGTTTTATAAATGTAAAACTTGTTGTATTTTGGTGTAGTTAAAAAAGTCTGCATGCTAAGTTTTTGATAGCGAAATTAGAAAATGGAGAGATCAAAGATGTGATTAATTAAATCAATTACCATATATATAGATATGATAAAGATGTGATGAAAAGAATCACGTGCATATAATTGCAAAATGATAAGTTTTTTTAATAATGAACTTATACTACAAAAGTAAGTTTTTTATTAATATATATTAATATAAAAATAATATTAATATTTAAATTAGGAATTGGAATCAATTCTACAAAAATTGAATCAATCAAAATTGAATCAGAATTGATTTAATTGATTATCGAATAAAAAATTGAATCTATTTATTGTGATGTAGTAGCATTAATTGACATTTATTTATTAAAATAATTTATCAATAATTTGTATATAATAATATACTGCTATACTATTATTAAATCCTTATCTATTAATGCCAAATAAATTTTTTAAAACAGATTATTTATAATAATTAATCCTTTTATATAAAATAAAAAAAAATTTTGCTGATCATTCATATTAATTTGCACTAAGTATAGAATATGCTATGTTATGCTTATTGTACTATCTGCTATCCTGAAAAGAAAAAATTTACTAATTTAGTTAGCATTTATGCACACTACGTATGAAGTGTATTTTTTACAATATATAGAAAAAAAAAAGATTTAAAAAATTTTGATAATCTGTGAGTATGATCTGAATCAGCTGAATTTAAATTTAAATTCTCTATTATATTTTTTTTTGGTAATTTGGTAAATAAAAAAAATGATTAAAAATTAGTAATAAATCCAGAATTAAAATAAATTTGTTATTGTATATCTTTGGTAATTTAGTAAAAATAAAATTTAATAAATCTAGAAATACACTAACGTAAAATTCTGATTAGAATTTATATTGTAGAAAAATAATCAATTGATACCAACTGAAAAACTTTTTTTGCTTAATATTTAATTAACTAAAATTGTATTAGAATCAGATGGATAATTATTCAAATCATTTTTAAATTTACATATGATTTTGATGGTTAAATTGAGTTTTGATGATCATTAACTTTAATTTCAAACACTAATTAATCATACTAACTAAAATTCTGAAGTTTATTATTCAACTGAAATATTTTTATATTTAATATAAAAAATTTCTAATCATCATTTAATTAACCAGAATTGTATTAGAATTAAATAGCATAATCGTTAAGACCAGTCTTGAACATACATATTAATTTAAAATAACAAAATGAAATTAGTTATAATAAATAATTAAAATATGTTTCAATTGTTTAAATTGTTAACAATAGAAATAATCCTTTTGTTAAAATTATTAACAACACAAATAAATAATTTATTTGTTTAAAATCAAAAACAACCTGATGCTAAATTTTTAAACAATCAGTAGATTGTTTTTTAAAATCTCTATCTTGTGTTAACTCTGTCGCTATGAATTCAAAAATAGACTAATGTTAAATTTTGAATGATCTTGCGAATTATTTATTTTGAAATCAAAAAATATTTTAGCAAAATATAAAAAAAGCTTATTTATTCTCTCATTACATATTTATCCTTATTTCTTTATTTTAAATTTGTTTATTTTGCTATGTATATATTAGTAATAATATTATTAAAATAAAAATTGATTGTTATTTGCATAAAGAAATTCTTACACTTTTAAAACTTATTTATTTGATTTATTTGATTAAAAAATAGCTACTAGTATATGAAATAAACATAAAAGAATACTTGAAAAAGTAGAAGTAATAAGAGAGGCAAATTTAACATAAAAAGAATTAACAGAAAGTGAAAGTGATTCAGATTATGAAGCTAAAACAAGTCAATTAAAATTTACAGAAAGAAGTAAAAATGATTCTAATAGTAAAACTAAAGATAGCAGTTATGTAATATTACAGGATATTATAATATCTGATATTTCTAATATAATTATAAATGATCTTGAAGCAGATTTTCTAGAAATTAATAATAAGTTAAAAAGAAAATCCCCAACTAAAATTACACAACCTAAAACAAGTTAGGTATAAAGATTCTTTAAACTTAATAAAGATAATATAAAAGCTATTTGTCAAATTAAAAGGTGGTTCTTCAAGCTTATTATCAACATATTTATTAGGTATATATCATATTACCAAAAATATTGTTATGAAATATAATGAAGAAAAATTAAAAAATTCTTCTATTCCTTTAATCAAATCACATCATCCTTTTAAATAAAAATCTTTAACTAAAAATGTTGTAGCATTTGTCATTAGAATAGTACAACCTTTAAGTATTATAGAAAATTTGAATTTTATTAATATGATAAATGGATTTGATAAATATTATAAAATTTCTTGTACTAAAATACTTAAAAATCAAATCTCAAGAACATGTGAAGTTGGAAAAAATACACTTAAAAATTAACTTTCACATATATAGCATATTTCTTTAACATTAGATATCTGGAGTTTACCAGCATATTTACCTTATTTAGGTGTTACATAAAATACTTCTTAGTATGGCAGAATTACCATATCCATATAGTTCAACTGAAATTAAGAGCATTTATTTAATAAATAGGAAATTAAATCAAAATAAGTACTATAGTAACTGATAATAGTTCAAAGATAAAAAAAGTATGTAATGAATTAGGAATTAGTGAAAGAATCCTATGTATCACCTATACTCTTCAATTAAGTATTAGAAAAGGATTAAATAAAATAGAACTATTAGCTGATAAATTTAAACACTTATTACTTTTTTATCAGAAGATAAAAAAAATAGCAATTAAAAGAATCACAAATTTATTTATATTGCCAACAAGAAATATTACAAGAAATTGAAGAATTAGAAAAGAAGTTAAAAGTTATATTTATCTTGATATTATAAAAGCAAATAATATAAGATGGAATTCAATCCTTTATGCTTTTCAAAGACTTATTATTCTTAAACTAATTTCAATATTAAAGGCATCTTTAATAAGTGACATAAGTTCATATATTTATAAAGAGGATGAAAAATTAGAAGAACTTTATCTTACAGTTAATGAGTGAAAAATAATTAAAGAAGTAATAGAGCTTTTAACTTCTTTTGAAATTGCAACACATTTTTTAAGTGGTATAAAGTATCCAACAATTGGTTTTGTATATTCAACTATGTGTAATTTAAAGGATAGGTTTAAAAGTAATTTTACTTTATTAGAAACTAGTGAAGCAAAATATTGTAGTGATGCAATTTTATAAGATTTAATATCAAGATGAAATTTTTCTTAAGATTTATGTTTAAAAAGATCATTTTTTGATTCTCATTTTAAAAGCTTAGATTTTATTGATTCTCACAAAAAAAAAATAGTATTGTTAATCAATTAAAAGAAGAGTTTGAAATTTTTAAACAAAATAATAGTTCTATAATATTTGATAAGAATATAGATAATTTAACAATAGCAATGAAAAGTTTTTGGAAAAAAAAAGAATAACAAAACTATTGTATCAATAAAAGATGAATTCCAATATTATTTAAATATATTAAAATTATCTGCTCTTGAAGAATATGATTCAGTTTTATAGTGGTTAAACAATAAAAGTAAATATTTAGTATTACATAAATTAGCAATAAAATATCTTCATATTCCTGCTATATTAGTTCTATCAGAAAGACTTTTTTTAACACTAAAAATTTAATCACATCACAAAGAAACTCGTTTGGATTTATATCTTGTTAACTAGCTCATGTTTTTAAAAAGAAATAGAGAATATATTGATATATATAGAAAAGCTAAGATTAATTATAAATATTCATAACAGTATTAAATAAAGAAAAAACAAAAATTTCGCTATAGCGAAGTATCACATCCTGTTACGTGATTTTGAGATTAATTTTGATTGGCTAATATAAATAATTGATAATCACGTGATACAAAACATAAATATCACGTGACGTAATCTTTATTTGATAAAATTTTTTTTTTTAACCTTTCTTTTTGTGT